TCCCAAAGATGAAAATTCAGCTAAAGGGAAGGAGATTTGAGACGATAGAAGAGATTCAGGCAGAATCGCAAATGGTGCTTGACAGGCTGACAAAGAAAGATTTCCAGGGATGCTTCCAGGCTTGGCAGCGGCGCTGGGATCGTTGTTTTCACTCCCAAGGGAACTACTTCGAGGGTGATGGATGAATTTAATATCTGAGATAAGTGTACGGGTTTTTATAGGCGCAGTCTTGAAACTTTCCGATCGCACCTCGTATATATATATATATATATATATATGTGTGTGTGTGTGTGTTTCTGTTCGTTTTAATTTCACTCAAATTAAATGCAGTATGCGTGCATGCTGTTATGTTTACGTTTCCTGCTAATGTTCCAGTCGGCAAAAGTAATTTATACTTAATTAGCATTTAATAAACAGTTTTTTTTCAAGTCTGTCTAGGCAGCGGTGAATTTTAATCAGCCTCACTGGACCAGAGAGTAAAAATAATTATTCGACCCGTGCTTCCGGACTGGTATTTTTCTGTGAAATCGTGATATTGTATCGCAGTAGTAGATATATTTAACCAACAAAGATAAATTTGCCTCTATAGCAAAAACTCATCATGAACGCGTGGTTAGAAAGCGCTCAGATATTAAGGTTGCTCAACTTCACGCTATATTGGCTTGACCCTCGAGGAAATCTTAGGGCGATCCTATAGCCATTTTCTAGAAGCGTTAAATGCCTTTGGGCATATTTTTTAAATTGTCATAAGTCTCCTTACCTTCTATCCCTGTGATATATTTAGCGTACTCCAGTTCGTGAATGCTGCTATATACACGAGCATCTGAACCGCAGACGGGCGGCAAGTGATAAAACCCATCACCATCTACTATCCATCTGCCATCGACAGCCATCAACAAGGCAGTAACTATGAGAAGAAATTTCCAGAAACATCAAGTATACATTAAGACGAAGTACTTCAGATTTAATTAATTAACTGTAGAAGTATCTGAAAAATGCGTAGGCTTCAATCTACGCTGGAGTAATATAGCTATATTTTTCAATTTTCTTGTAGGCGATAATGCGATTCTCGACTTAGTGAATCCTACCGTCTGCATTTATTCTAATTTAGAACATCCATACAATCGACAACGCCAAGGCTAGTCTCATGGTATAATTTATAAATGGGGGGGGGGTTAGGATCTTCCGCATACCCGAACACCATTAAAATAATTCTACTAACAAGAAACCAACGATTCGGAGGAACATATTGTTTCCATCTTCAGGAATATTGATACATGTGTTAAAACACTCAAACAAATAAAATTCCAAATGGCAGGCTAACAACCTGACATTTGTAATAAATGTTATTACATTAGTCACATTATTTCTTGAAAGCTTAGGAGGACAAGTTCAGAAGGACCACAGAAGAGATAGCATGAAACCATAACAGGTCGCTTGAAATAATAGCTGGCAGGATGAATGCGACTAGTTTAATCTAATGAACGTTTGGCATTACACAAAAGCCATTAATCAACACTTTATAAAACACTGAGAAAATAATATATTTATGTGACTACGAGAATATTGTATGTATGAATGTTAAGAGTTACACACCGTGATTTGAATGGGAGTCCTTCGAGTAAATGTTTAAGTCATATACTACACCTTAAATTTGCTTACCTAAAAGAATTTTCTGATTTATTATATTTCTGCAGATGAAAAAGTGGATGATTTCTGTATTTCGTGAAATATTTTTATGCAAATCAATTTCTCAGTGTCTACTGACGTTATTAATCATATTTTAATATTGTAAGTACATTCAGGCATCTATAATAACTATCGTGTTTGCTCGACTCTTTTATATCAGTGCGTATTATAAAATTAATGCTCTGAAAATTTAGTGTCATGTGCAATATAGGCCTGCATAAGAGTTTCATGTAATTTGTATCGTGCCTGTCGTCTGTATCTTATTCCGGATGTAAGTATGAATATTTTTCCACTAAAGATTGTGCGACATATTACATTTAAATACACCGTGTGATTCAGTTAATGCAGTACATAATCCGAAATCACTGTTCGCTTACGTGTGCTTGAATGTCAGAGGAATGCTAATATTCGAATATGTTAACACCATAATTTTATTTCTCTTAACGCAGTAAAAAGGAAATTTTGTGATTTCATTAAAAATAAGCAGTCTTCTCTAACGTCCTCCTATAGGCGCAGAAGATTAAATATCAATAAATCGGGACATTGAGAACAAAGAACAGAAGAACATATCTATGTAATAAGCCACAAAATTAATATACATAGCATAATATTAAATTTCTATCTAAATATCTTCAACAAATTGTTTAAAAGATAGAATGCGTTAGAAAATAATATGACGAAGAAACTCCCTGAAGATATTTAACGTGCGGACGAAACATGTTGATTTAAAATGACTATCGCAAAGTTGTATGTGGTGGATTGCCATGACATATCTCAATGATCGGAAACAATGCAGTGGTCATCGGAAGTGTAAAATGATTGCCAAAAAATGTATGGTATATACAACCCATGTATTTCGATGTAACAACATATAATAGAACAGCATTGCCTAGTAATTAAAGCACTTGGTTTCAAGATATCTGTGAGTGGAGAAAAGCTAGGTCTACTTACGGAGAAGAACTCTTGCCTCCATTGCGGTGTTATCGGCACTGGTTCGACCGCTACTGGTAACGTCCAGCAACTTCCACTCCTTTATTATATTCCTCATTCTGATTACGCATGTACTGGCCTCAGTGTTCTTACGTCAAGCATCATAAAACGACACTGCCAGCTCAGCTCAGAAACTGACAGGTCGTGGTGTGTTCACACCAGAACACAGCATCGTTTCAATTTCTGAGAAATCACGGCAGGGGAAAATTAAACTTTGACATTGAAGTTATCAATGCAGACGCGACGATATTTTTGTGCTGCAAACACAGGTGCATTCTTTAAAAAAATCCACATGCTAATAGCCACTTTCGAAAATTGTTATTGTTATTATTATATTTTCTGTATCTCATAAGATTTTGCTTTAGGCAAACACTCAAATAAAAGAATTGAACTTTTATTATTATTTATTTTTCTTCATTATTTTTATTGTTTTTTACTTGCTGTAGAACAGTAAATTATTGGAATAAAATGAATTTGATTTAAATTCAATCTAAACTCAATGAAACTTTTATTTTTTGTTTCTCTGATTGCGATTCTGTGTTGAAATAACTTAAGCATTTTTTCCTGTACTGTGTGTAGATTACATAAGGAATCTATTGAAAATGTTCGTGTTGTGGGTGGTCTTTGAAATTAATGTTGTAATGAAGGCGTACCAAAGTCAGCTAACAAATCCATCTGTACAACAGTTTTTGATAGTATTTATTGAGATGAACTCAAAAAGCATTTGTGATCTCATATAAAGCGGTCCTTAATATTTCCCGATCTAAATTAAAACCAATATGACTCAACAACTTTTTCTTAATTCTCCAACATCCGTTTCAATCATAATCGGTTTATCAATTCTAGAGTTGTTTAACAAGTACGGACAGACGGACGAATAGGTCGATTTTAATAGGCGCTCCGTAGGGCTGTACACACCTAATAGGAAGAATTTAAGTCCGTCAAAATGAAACAGCCTTCTTCCTGTTTTACATCAAACCATTACCACAAACTGTATCGTTATATTGGGCATTGGCCATCAGCAGAAGATTTTCAGACCCGTCGTTTCGAAAACTGAATCGTCGTGTAATAAGGGAGGAATTTTTCTGCTTGGTCGTGTGACCCACAAGTTGAGATTCGTCCCCCAAATTGGTCCAGTTTCTTTGTTAAAATACTGCCACACAATGATGAGTCTAATGATTAAGAAAGAATTGGAAATATCTTATTATATACTGTAAATAAAATAAGTGCATGAACTTGTAAAGTATGTAAAAATTATTGTTTTTATGTGGAAGAAGACAATATACTATATTGAAGACAGCATCTACATATATGATATTTCAAGCTTTTGATGACACTGAGTAAATAACATGTTACTTTGATGAATATGGAAAGAAACATACTTTCCTGGTAACGACAACGGATATGCTCATTCCCTTGAATGTGTTATCCGCTCACTATTAATCTTCAGCACAAAGGACACTTTGGTATTTATAGGCTATTGTCTGAAAACAATAAAAATCGAATGATCTTACGGTGCCTGATACAGACATAAATAAGTTTGGTTCTTTCGTAAATGGTTTGTGACAATGATCTAGTATCAATATACTTTTCTAAAGGGATGTCCACCCTTTCGTAACTCAGACTTACATACACACATCTTTCTATTTCTGTCAGTTCTGATCAGGTAAATGCGATTTCGTGCCTTCTCCATAGCCAGATCGGCATATAGCAGGATGGTTAGTTTATCGGCCACACGGACTGGTCTGTGTATAGAAACTCAAAGGTACTTAACATTAATGATTGTATTTCTCGGCCAGCCTGTACTTTACAGTAGAAAACAATGGAACTGTAACGTTCATTACAAGCTGTCATTTTGCTTGTACAAACAATCGAGTAATGGCGACTGACTTCATAATAGCGAACGTAGGTAGGTGGAAATATTAACGACTGGTAAAGTCCAGACTAATGTTAAGTACTGACATAATTACAAGTCGTTGGCAAATAAGATATTACAAAAATAAATTGACTTTGAAAAAAGAATTTGTTAGTACGTGTTAAATACGTTCCCCTAAAAATATTGATTTTGGTATGAAGAATGCTGAATACGTTATCCATCAAATTGGGTTCGTACCTATGCGCGGTAGCGCGCTTATGTAACTGGAGTTATAAGAAAAATGAGCGATTAGCTCTTGCGTATTTCGAACAAAGAATTAAGAAAAATCTTTTCATCTCCGTCAAAGACATTTTGACAAGTTGGATAATTGCTGTAAAGATAACTATAAACATATTGAGTGCCAGAAGGCGGTTACAAATTCAAAGAACAGTTTCGGTCTTCGACAGTAGAGACCTCTACACATTGCAGTTCTGCCTCTTCCAATAAATAGGCTATTGTAAGGTAAAAGAAATAGGTCATATGAACATTCTCATATACAGAATATTTTGCTGTTCTTTATTTTAATCACCTAAAGTAAATTATACCACTTCTGAGACTCATAGATGGGAGAATATTATTAAATTGTATATTACAGAAATAGTATGTGAGGATGTGTACTGGATTAAACTGGATTAGATCCACTGGAAGGATCTACAAATACGCAATGAAGCTTCTGGTTCCATGAAAGGTGCAGTATTTTTTGGTCAATACACAATCGTCTTATAAAAATACTCAAAAAAATAATTGTGATGTTAATTACATCTATTCTTGTGTCCGACAGAATCGTATTCAGTTTACCTCTTTCTGAGTAAACTGATAAAGGTAAGGTTTAGCTTCATGTGAAGTTGGGTTTATATTTGACTGATGACACTAAGATTAGTGTCCCGCGACATGCTTCAGCGTTGGCCTCTAATGAAATTTTTTGAGGACATTCGATGAGTAATTTCTGAGATGATGCATGGCGATCTCTCCCCTATGAGTTAATTGTATACAACGTGCTTAAACGGTACAATAAAGCAATTTTCTCACTTAAAGAACGAAATTGACTGTCAGAAACTGTTCCAAAGTCGCACGTCATTTCGAAGCTTCTTGTTTATAAACAAAGCTCGCTCTGCTTTCCTTCACATACCCGTCACCCCTGAGAGTCGTTAAAATTATCAATAGGTTTGAATCATCAATAATGAGGACTGTGTGAGCACAGGTGTTGCGTTATGTTATGTAACATGTCAAATTTGAACAACTATGAAAGCCGGTATTTTATCCTTCTGTTTTGCGTTAAGCGAAACCAGTTTTGGACAAATCTTGGAACCAGGCACATGAACACAAAGCATTAATTTCTTTTAAAACAGATAATTACTAAAATTGTGCTTAAATACAACGTTTCTGGTAAAATTTTAAGTGATCTCTATGCACGAATGTGATTCGATATTTATTGACGTTATTACAGTGGCTTGAATTTATAACTTCAACACCCTCACGTTTGTTTTTGTTAAAGTAAAATGGTAATTTTATAAATGTAAGTTATCACAAAGACTGGTTAATATTATTTTGTACTCGAATAACAGAAAATCTAATTTCGAGATATTTATATAAAGAAAGTAGACATTAACAAATTTAAATTCCATAACAGAAGGAATAAAATCATTATATATATATATATATATGCACCTAAGAAATAATTAATCCTATGTCTTATTGCAAGGAATGTGAATTTTTGACACAGTTATTAGCAAAGAAGTAGTAAGTAAAACATTCACGCTGAATAAATATATTTGTGTAGGTTATCTGTTTATTTAGAATATTAAAAATAATATTAATTTTAACGGATTAACTGTAGTTATATATTACCATAAAGTTATATCTTCAGAAAACTCCTAAGTGTTTTTTCTACCAAGGATTTTACAAGTTCATTCATATTTAGAAGCGAGATTAATTTTGTGTTTCCTTATAATAGGTATGATGGACGCTTGGAATACCAGTTTCAAACAGAATATTTGTCTTTAAAGTAAGATATACATATCCGTCATTTATATATAAATAAAAATTTATAAGAAAACTACACGGATATCTGGTAATAGTTCTGAGCTTATATACAGAAGTGATGGAAGGTAAGTTCCCTGCAGTAATAGTACCCCGACCTAATGCAATTACTTCAGACTCGTTACATACAAGTAATGTGCCAGAGTGTCTTAAATTTCGGCAAACTCTCAATGTTTTCTGTATTTCTCAACAAACAAAAAGTAGTAAATTCTTCTGGCCATTGTTCATGGGTTCCTTAGCGAAACTTATTCAAATACACCGGAGTATCAACATCGATTGGTAGGATGTTGGAGAGTGACAGTAGGAATTGCTATGAACGGAAGAACATGAACATTTGCAAGGACTCGGGAAACTAAAAAAAAAAAGATTATCTCGGCCTGGGTGGTTAGCGCTGAGATCAGAACTGAACACCTTCCGAATGCGAAGAAAAGAATGGTGAGCATTTCTATAGCTTTAATATATGACGACGAATACACATAAATCTGCACTTGATGTAATTTTCTCTACTCCCTTGTTGCTTCTTTTCGCTTAGGTTCATACATTCTCCCAAACACCTCGTCCTTAACCACCATCAATCTATGTTCATCTCGTACGGCGAGAAACTAAGTTTTACATACATAAAAATGTAGAAACGACATTACGTTAGAAACTATAATCCCATTTTTTGCAACTTGTGAGAGTTTTCGCAAATGTAATCGGATTATATTAATCTGGTTCGAGGTCTACTTGCTGATGTAGGACTCTGTAATCCTTTATTGTAAAAAATCCGCTGTTAAATGTCACCCGTTTCCTCCACCACGGTCTAATCTGTCTTTACAGGGCAGATGCCTTTAACTATCTTGCACAGCGTACCTGTGTAATTATTTTGTTTCTCAATGTCCAGGTTCAAGTCTCGACCCGGCGACTCAATATCCAGACAAAGAATTCTTGTGGTATTTTAACATTTATTATTGTAAATTTTGCTTTAGAACATTGATAATACAAACTTTAGAAAATTACACTAATTTATTCCTCACAGCAAGGGATAGAGCATTTAACAGCCTATTGTTCTGCCTAAGTTTCCATTGGATATCAATTGACTTCAATGCAGGCAGTCATATCTTCCGAGGTATTGACATTTAAAACTGTGTAGCACAAAAACCCAGAAGACCATAATATATATATATATCAAACATCAGCTCTTGACATCAATAACAAATTTCTGTGCAGGTGCGGAAAATATTCACAACAGACAGATTTTCACTGTTTCTGGAAAAGACATTACACGGGCTCCCGATGAGTGGCGACGAATTACAGGAGGGAAACATCTTGTCCCGCCATCTGCAGTAGAACCCAGTGTCATAAAGCTGTATCCTAGCAACCGCATCCGAGATATACGTCCTATTAATTACAGCGAAAATGATCAAAACTCTCTTCGTAGATCTATGAGTTCTTTTATGCTGATTGCTCAGTGCTTCGCGCTCTGTCCCGTACAGGGGATCACCAGCCCACAAGTTCAAGATCTGAGGTAGGTGTGGTGACTCAGGTTGTGGACCACCTCATCTCAACAATAACATTAATAAGACATTCTGCGGTTTTGTTATTTAGGGAACTTCAATACGGTGTTTAAGAATGTCTACCATTCGACTCAGTACTGAACAATTCGAATGAATTATGAAGGAGTTACGTAAGGAACGAATATTTAAATGTTTCCCTTTCGGTCCTCCAGGTTCAGATGGCGCTGTTTGCGTGTCGTGTATTCCATCGTCATGACGTTGGGAATGGCGACAACATTTATATTTACCATCGCCTTTTATATGAAAGGCTTTTTTAATTTCGAGACATCCAGTAAGTACAGAGAACTGACACGTTTCTAAGTTCGCGTTTCTATCTTATACTATTCCACCTGAAGAACTGTTCGCACTGCTTTTCAGAACAGTGGTATTCGCTAAGAAATATTTTCTTATTTTAAATTATGATCGCGTCCTTATCCAAGTATTAACAGTTTGTTGTTTGTTTCAATAATTAAATTTTACAATTTTTAATTATACTATTGATAATTAACCTATGATGCAAATAGTCTTCTTTATATCGAATAAAAAGAATAAAATTCGATATAAATTATTCTGACTTATTATATAAACTGTTTTGTCAATGTTTACAAATTTGGTAAGGTTTAATCATGACACTGAACTATATAAGCCAGCTCAAAGTAACAGAAAGATGCAATTAAAATACAATGGAATCCCTGATATTTTGTATTATTTATTCAGTGACTAAAATACATGACCTTTAAGGTGCATTTCAAACTTATGTTTCACCTATGCTGCTGGCACAGAGCATTCTAAATTACTTAATATTTAAGCCTCCTTACGAAAATAGTCACATAATGTAGTTTGCTGGAATCGATGTGCTTTTTTTCAGACTATATATTTTACGCTCTGTACCCACACTGTACAGCAAGAATGTTGCAATACGGTCTTATAATGCTACCAAAACATTTCATACACATTTGTACGATATAAAACGTATGTACTCGTATTGGGGATATCGAGGTTCCACTGTAATTTGTGCATGACTTTCATAGCGCTTTCGCAGATTCAAATTCACGGGAAAATGTAGGTGAGAAAACATGTAGTGGTTTATATAAAAGTATATACATGGTTATGGGCATAAATTTTTAGGTATATGTAAAACGAAAAATACGATGTTTCCTTGAAATAAGAAAGTTTTGTTTACATAATATTAGTTTCTATAAAATAAGAGTGTTACATTGTCAAATATTTCGCTATCTGATGAAATTAGGTCGAATATCTGTTTCATATGTAAACACAGAATTTAAATTCCTGTATGATAAAATGCTGAAATACTTTCATTACAGCTACTTTTGTGTTCTATGCCCTTGGCTTTGCCTGCTGTGTCTGCTTCTTAAATCTGGCCCGAAGATGGCCACGTCTTGAGGATCTGTGGCAAAGAACTGAACAGGAACAAATTAAATACGGATATCCAAAGAATCTTCATTTGAAGATTAACGTTATGTCGACTGTAACACTCGCTGTAGCACTTGGTGAGTTAAATTAATTTGATTAAGAAGTAACAAATAACTAAAGAAACTAATAAGTACGTAATAGTTATGAACAAAAGGCGAATTGACAAACTGTTATTTTTGTAGAATTTTGTGAAGGATATACGCAAATTAAATTTGCTCTGAATAATCCTATAGTTTATAATAAAGCTTGTGTTAAATTAAATATTTGTTGAAAGGAATTCAACCTCTGCTGCCAATGTCAAAGAAATTTGTGAATATGAATTTGCAGATGGAGCGAAATAAAATAAGTTTCACGCATTTTAAGACGCTTAAGATGTATTAATATACTTTGTTCCAGGAGAACACCTGCTAGAAAAGTATACTGTGATCTCTGCTGTAGCTCGTTGTTCAGACACCAAGGCAGAACTCATTGAACTCTACTATCTCATGGACTATAGCTATGTATTTCAGTTCGTCAAGTTTTCACCGCCTCTAGCCGTTTTGTGTGAAATCGTAAATTTCTTTGCCTCATTTTATTGGAACTTCATTGACCTCTTTGTAATGGTTCTTAGCATGGCGCTATCAAGTCGTTTCCGCCTGCTTAACAACCACCTAAGACTGGCACTGGGAAAGGTACTTGTCTATTTCATACTTACTGAGTGAGAAGCAAAACTAGCAGCTCGCCTCCTTGACGGTTCAGAATAGAATCAGTGGCCATTCAGCATATTTTATTATAGTATGAATCTACGAACTTCGTATCTGAAAGGTGCAATTTCAGTGATATTTCAATACATAATGCTTCAATTTAACATGACCTTTCTTTTTTTTTTTTAAAGGAGTGCAAGTTAGAATTATGTATACACAGGGCCATAGAAATTCAGCTTGAATGTGTCACTTAAATTACTCATCCAGAGTCTCACAGTATGCCTCATACATATGGAATATTTTTGTACTCGCTCCAAAATATGTTGTGAAGGAAATATTGAAAATATTCTTAGCAAACAGTATGACCCTCTGTTAGGTTAAACCTGAAGAATTTTGGAGAGAGGTTCGTGAGGACTACAACAGCCTCTCAGTCCTGACGAAGTACCTCGACTCCTGCATATCCAGCATCGTACTGCTTTCGTTTGCTACAAACATGTTCTATATCTGTCAGCAGCTTTACAACACTCTCAGGTAGCTAGTTATTCACTGAACACTTTGACCTGTAAGTAGTTTTTATTTTATGTTCTAACTTCAGCTGTGTTTTTTTTAAATTAGGTACATCATATACATACATCATACATACATAACCTTAGAGTTTTTAGTGACCACACTTCATATTGGGGGTCCCAGGTTCGAAAATGGGCCCTGTGTCCACTCTTCTTACTGAGGTGTTAATATGTTTAGTATTTTTCCTGTCAAATAACGATGCAGCACTATGAATTAATTAATATACACCTAAATTTCTTTAAATTTGCCATTAATGATCACCTGCGATTAGATGCTATGTGGAAAGTTCATAAACTTTAGTTAATTACATTAATATTCAGAATTTTAATCTTAGAGTTGACATTTTCGACAAACAGATTGATATATCTTGTTTGGATATATCAGAGTGAAACTCTTCGCGCTTACATAAGAGTCTTTTCGTTTCTGCAGGAAATCCGTCGGAACTGTGAAGCTGGTCTACTTCTTCGTTTCGTTCAGCTACCTGTTGTTCAGAACAGTTGCCGTGTCCCTTTGTGCGTCCAGCATACACGAGGAAAGCCGAGCTGCCAAAGATTTCTTATACGCTGTGCCTACACAAAGTTACAAAATCGAAGTACTGTCTACTGAAATATTAGCTTAAGTTACAGGCGTATACTGCAAGCAACATTATTACATTTTATTTAAGTGTTTTAAATTAGAATAGATTTACATTTGGTCTAAGTTGTCTGGAATTTAGCCTTTACACGTAATTACATATTTCAACAAACATTATTAGAATGATAAATTCAAGGAGGATGAGATGGGCGGGACATGTAGCATGAAGATGACTTTTTAATTGGAAAACCTGAAGGGAGGAGACTACATTAGAGACGTAAGCTGAAATCGGAGTGCAGGCAATCCGCACTCTTACTGGCGTGGACGGTTAGGTTCCCGAAGACAGTTCGTAAATCGAGACGCTATTTCATTTCCCATAAGCGCAGGGTTATAATTGGCGTTACGTTCCCGAACGACGGAAAAATTACGAAAGCAAAATTAAAAATCAACAACTTTATTGTCTGCAACGAAAAACACAGGCAACGAGTAGGCGTTTGATTGTTACGTATGTGTTTATAAATAGAGCAAAAGCTTACGCAAGATACACACCAAATCAAAAAGTAAGGCGAACTGACCCTGGTGCTTCATGATGCGCTGTCTGGACGACGCTGCGTCTTTTGCACTCTCCCTAGCACGTGCTCGATTTCGTTCGGAAGACGCCTCGAGGAGGGCATAATCTTCATCATGAAAGTTTAAATGATCAGAATATTGCAATGTGAATCTTCGTAAAGTGAAAAGTTGAAAATTATTTTGAACAAGTAGGTTTAAATGATGTAAACTGGATTAAACTGGCTTGCATTAGGTTCCAGTGACCAATTCTTCGAAATACGTTAATAAAAGTTTGGGTTGAAGAACCAGCCAAAAATTCCTTAACCAGCAATAACTTCTTGCATATGTTTTTACACAATATATAAGTTTGTTTAAAAAGAAGCATAACTTGGTGACAAAACATAAGCATCTTCTTAGTTAATTAATTACATGAAATTGTGTGTAGTCTCTGCTAAGAAATAATAAGGTATAGGATTTGAGGTTTTCATGGCGGTGAGTCTGAAGATGGCTGTCTTCTGGATTGTTTACCAATGTAGCGTGATAAAATCACACTGTAGCAACGACCTCTGAAACGTCGGCAAACTTTTACCAGACTACACGGCGCAACAACCCAGAAGACAGCCATCTTCAAATAATACAGTGTTCTTTAAATAATTCCCCTCCACTTGCAACAATTTGTCTAACGTCAGTTTCTGCCATGGGTTCAAACTTTTACGAAACACATGTCAAACAGAGAAATTAGTAGGTTTATTTGCACTCGACAGATCCCTTAATGAAACACAACGCCTTGTCAGTAAGTGTAACATACACTTTTCTGCATCTAAAATGTGTCTTTCCTAATAACTGTGTTCTTTTCCTACCTCTTGAATGCAAATTACTTTGTCTAGACTAACAAACCTAGGCAAATAATACGTTATTGTTGTAAAACCCTTAGGTAGCTTTAAGCTGACAGAGGACAATGACATTGATTACATTTGGAGCTTCGAAAAAAAGATTTTGTAACTGAATTTCAGGTACACCGATTCCTGGTTCAAATTTCCACAGATGCAGTCGCCCTTACTGGATGTAGATTCTTCACCGTCAACAGAACGTTGCTACTCACGGTAGGTTTTGACACTTCGTAGTCTATAAAGTCCTTCCTCATTTTCAATTTTTTCCCCTGCGTTTCCCATCCTGTGATATGGTTATTATTTTGTTCACCAATGTTTTCCGTGTGCCAATTTCCACGAGATTTAGAGATTTACTACTCATTATTTTTACATTTACACCACTCCAGCAGCGACTGTCTGCTGTCTGTCTTGTTTGGCTGTGCACGATTCGAATTTTAGCGTAAGGGACTTGTGACAACGGGTGTTTTCATGATCACAACGCACAATATTCTTTAGCATGAATCTCGCCCCTCACCAAGATCCGAGACGAAAGTTTGTGAGACTGGTTGCAAACATTTTTCTTGCATAGCCGAAACTCGGTGGTCCTCTTAGACGCACCAACATCATGCGGACTGTTACATCCGTCAATGACTGTAATTGAATGTCTGCGTACTCCATCATTTCATTTTCTTTCAGCTGGGCGGAACGGTTGTGACGTATGTGGTGGTGATGGTACAGTTTAGCAGCCCCTCGTCCGGATACGCTACTAATGATACAGAATTGTGCCTCAAGATGACTGCAAGGTTACATTAATTCTATTGATGTTCATTGTGAAGCTATAGCAATACTTGAAATTTGCACGTAAAGGGTTGAATATAGGAAATGTATCTATACGTAAATTCATTTACAATTAGAATTTGGTTTAACTACATATGTAATTTGTGATTATAAGAGCGGTAAATATGTCGTTATATATGATGTGAAGCTTTTACGGCGGCTTTCATTAATAAAGTCTTGAAAATGAGGGCAGAGATGGTTCTCGAAACGTCGGCGATTGATCACAAACTAACACGGCTGATAGCCCGAGAAGACTTTATTAATGTCGTTAGTGGTTGGCCGGTCAAGGCTGAAGATGGAAGAAATATGTTTCTATGTTTCCATTTATAACTCAAAATCCAGGAGACAACCTTTGACATGATATGACCCTACTCTGTTTAAATGGTAGGTTAGGTATTGAATTCATTTGTTATGTCGTGCTGTTCTAGAGCTATCGCATCAACAAAATATCTGTCCTGGTTTTCATTATTTTACACCTGAGTGCCTATTAGTGTTAGTCGATTCTTAAAGGATTGTAATCTTCTTATACGCAGCCTACATCATAGTTTAATGCCATTCAATACAAGGGTGGAATTCATAAAATATGCATTATACAGTATTAGCAGAATTTTAAAGAACGGTTTTAAGGGTTTAAACAAGTTTAATTTTAAATTAGATTTGAGTTTATTAAGGTGGCATAAAGATGGTTGTCTAATGACGCTTGGCGTAGTGTGAACGGTACCAGAGCCTAGAAGACAGCCATCTTCAAATTAAATTTTATTTCAAGTGCAGCAAATCCTCAGATTTCTCATAATTATTTGGGAATACTTTTCCCTTGTTATGGTTTACGTATCATTCTCATATTTCTTCAGTCGATGCAAACAAGCTGTTGACCTTTCCTGTTATCTGATATTGAATGTGAACAGTGCCATCATTGCAAATTGATATTTTGCAAAGAACATGTACAAAGTACTTTAGCATAACAGGAAAGGTAATTTTTTGTTTAAAATAAATGTATGACTAATGATTTCATATAAAATAAAATACGCCTGCTTTAAATAACAGATATGATATTTATTTAGATCCTTTATATAGGTTCTAACCCAGCATCGTGAGGAAATTTGGGAGTTACAATGAATAGCGTAATCCGGTCAGGAAAGCTAGCAATGGCTGGG